ATAAAATGATAATTTCGCTCACTGAATACAACAGTGGCACAACTCAAAAATCATAATTTTGAGAAAACGGTCTCCGAAGTTTACGAAAATTATCGCGCGCGTCAATTGTTTAGCATAACAGTTAAATCGTTCGTATTATATTATTACTATTACGTTTTTTATATTCTGTGGGATCACATAGATAATTTAAAGAAAAAATAAAAAATATTCTATTAGTATATTTTTATTTATAAGCTTGCAAAGTGGGTACTTCAGAATTATGTCTATATTGCATAAAATATTTTAGAGCTTTTTTAATTGGGTCAAAGGCAAATTATTTTAAATAAATACATTTAAAACAAATGAAATCATTTTCTGTACTTTTATTTGCATAAGAATTTTGCGATGGCATTAAAATACCAGTCCACAGTAATTTTCCTTAAAAATATTTAAAAAAAAACGGAAAAATTACTAATATTCTATACACATCAGTGTATAAAGTTCAATTAAGAAACAAAAAAGTTTTCTCAATATACTGTTTACACAAGTTATACGTAACAATATTATCATTAAAATCAGTCTTATTTAAAAAGAACAATTTTGGTAGCATAGACTAAATATTTTTATGAAAAATGTAAAAAAACTTAGGTATTATTTAATTCCTGGATTATATTTCAATCTGTCATTCTTAGCTTAAAATTAAATATGGAAACTATTTACTTAATATTAGGAACTATTAGGTAATATTAGGAACCATTATGTCGAGTTTACTATTTTCTAATAGATGTAATAACTCTTGAAAAATAAAAATATATATTTATTTTACACTAGTGGACGCCCGCGACTTCGTCCGCGTGGAAGTCGGTATCCCGTGGGAGTGAGAAGTTTTCCCAGTAAAAAGTACCCTATGTGTTATTCTGATGTATAACCTATATTGCTGTAAAGTTTTATCCAAATCCGTCCAGTAGTTTTTTCGTGAAAGAGTAACAAACATCCATACATCCATACTTACAAACTTTCGCCTTTATAATATTAATAGGATTACTATTTGTCTTTAAACAACAAAGCTATTAATAAAGTATACTAAACCAAAACTTCTTAAAATAAAAATAAACTTAACGCTACTCTCCAAACAAATACTATCCAAAATAAAAAAAATATAAAATCCTTCTTTAAAAAATGACAATAAGCAGAAAAAAATAATCAACGTATTTCTAAGCACTGAAATGTCAAACACTCCGTAGTAAACAAATATAGGTGGTAAGTATTTAAAAAAAATATATTTAGCTGTAAAATTGACAAAAACAAATAAAAATCAAGTCTTCCTTTTACACAGAAAGAACAAGCATTAAAAAAACTGAAAAAATATCAAAAACAATAAAAAATAAACGTCCTTCTTCTTAACAAAAACAATGATGGGCTTAATTAAATCATTCATGTTTTAAATTATTGTAAAAATCAGAATGACACCGTGGAATTGTATTATTTATCAAAGATTGCAAGTCATGAAACTTTTTTTAAGAAATTGCAAATGTTTCAGGATAAGCTTTTGACAATTGAAACCCTTTCAGGGCCTTCAAATTCTTTCTAGTTTTCGAATGAGTCACTTTCACAGCCTTAAATTCATCATCTGCGTACATTGAGCTAATACATTGAGCTAATAGTAGTTCAATGTCTGCGTAGGAAGTTTTATAATAGTAAGTGCGTGGATCATTTTTATTTACTTTAATAACGCAAATATCGTTAAAATTAAACCAGTCTCCCTCTTCATCAATATTGAAGTTATTTGCTGTTTCACTGACGAGACTTTTTAAATCACTAAAGAATTCGTGATTCAACTCGTGGACTTGTCCAGGCGACCGACTAAAGATGTGTCACTGTTGCAGTATAATATAAAGAGATTTTGTCAATGCATTACCGACACCTATGCCATCTAGTGGGCAAACTGTAAGCTGTTTGGCTCCGCTCTCTGTTGCATAAAATAAATGATGCGTTTTTATATTCGAATCTTTGAATAACTCTAGGTACCTAAATTTTCAGTTGTGCCACTGTTGTATTCAGTGAGCGATTTGTATGATGACAACAAAAAAAATAAGATTCCAAAATTTGACCACTAGAAGTAAGTTGACCTCATTTATATAAAACCAATCATATTAAATAGGGCTCAGCTTATAATGGATGTGTGGTATACGATCACGCGAGCAGAAGAACAAGCGAAAAGAGCCTTCCGATGATGCAATTAAGCATCGATTAGTTTACAGTGAACGCATAACGTATTTTTATCAGATTAGGTTCACGTCGTCGTCGGGGCAAGCGGAGGTGGTTGGCAGCCGCCCCCGCATTGCACGGTTTCGTCTATCTGGGAGAGGCACTCGATTTACCCGAGCCTCTCCAATTTTCCATCTGCAAGGGGACCAATGGTCCAATACTTGAGTGTCTTGGTGACTCGGCCATAGCTTGCCGGATTTCATCTCCCATGAGAGGGTGTAGCGTATTGGTTTTGGTGAGTAGACCTCTGGGGACCCACTGGGCAGCTCACTGTTGGATTCACGGAGGAGAATCCTACTCATCCCCTGTTGCTTGCCAGGTAACAGAGACAATGTCAGAAGCTTTTCCACGACGTTAAAAAAGTAAGATTCACGTCAACTGAAGTTAAGAACGTAAAGACAACTCGAGTTATATTTTTTTTCACTTATTACTAAATTTTATGTTAATACTCTTTTTGTTTTTTTTTTTAACATACAAATTGCTGTATATACGTCCTTAAAAGCTGGTATTTTCAGTTCGTCGCTGGAAATAATGGTTTATTCATTGGTCACAACACTCATATAATATTACGCGAGTCTGAGAGTCAGTTCAGAGTAGCTCGGTGGCGTAGTGAATAAGCGCCATGGCCCGCGATTGCAGTTGTTAAGCAACTTTCGCAATTTTTTGGTCACCCATCCCGTGACCGACCCTTGCGAAAGTTGCTTAACGACAACGATTGGGGGCCGCGGCGCTTATCCAATACGCCACGGAGCTACTCGGAATATGTATATATTTTTTATATCAATAAATCCACGTATCTTCTGTCAGACATGTACCGACCAACTTTTATTGACAAAGAACGAGATCGGACGGAAAGCGCTCGGTCTCGGAATACACCTGAAAAACGCGAAGCGTATTCAACTGCCCATCGCGAGGCTCATGAACAATAAAGTTGAATTTGAAGCATTTACAGTCAGGGACAATCTCTTGAGCTCTCGGAGAACTCATACAACAAGCGTTTGATCTCAGGAAACTTCTGAAGATTGCATAGCGCATCTAACTGCTGATCGTAACATACATGCATTATAATATGAGTATGAAGCTTCCTTTGATAGAAAAATGCGCTTGGGCTCTGAAAGAGCTCGCAGTTTTCACAATAGAGATCGAGAAAGAAGTTTCGATTATTGCCAACCCGTGTTGCCTTCATGCTCCACAGGCGTACCGCAGATAAGTTTTCACAGGGTATAATGAACAAGCTGTTTTCCCGCGACTTTACTGCAAAATTATAGCTTATGACATCCGCGTCTGATGTAACTTCCCGTAGGTCGGAATCACTCTGAAACTATCGGTCCAGTAGTTTTGGAGCAAATTTGATGCAAACAAACAAACAACCAAATCTTTCCTCTTTATAATATTAGTATAGCTTAGGTATAAGAGGTCCGATGGCGTAGTGGGTTAGCGAATTCGGTTTAAATTGCAGTTAAATAAGTAAGTAAATACTGAACAACAAGGACATACATGAATACTTATTTTACTAAGTACAAATGACAAACTCATCGCTAGCCAGCGATTTCTTCCAGCCAACCTAGCATTACATGGAAAATAGAACAATAAATAGCCAATTGTGCATACAACTAGACAAATAATAATGATTTAAAAAGATCAAAACAAAAGAAGGATAGTTTAAAGGTACGAATAAAATTCTCAGACACAAGCGACAACCAGAGCGCGAGAAACGAGAAAATAGATAGAAAAATAACATTCGTAAGGACCGTTAGCAGGATGGGTCACCAAAACATTATTATCTTGAGCACTGTGCACAACACTGACACAATGCACGTTAAGCCGTTAGTCCTGGCTATATCAGCAACGTTAACACCCACCGATCAGCATTAAGCCCGCATAGTGGATTATGGCCCATTGATCTTATTCGATTTGACTCCATTCATAGGCAAAAAATAATTCTACCAAAATACTTCCCACGCAGACGAAGTCGCGGGCACAGCTAGTCACTAATAATTTTTTAGCTAAACCTAAACTTACACCTTTCTCCACAATGCCTTTCTTACACAAATAAATACTGGAAAATACTTAACATAAAATTTCGTGCAACAATTAAAGAATCTTTAATTTGTAGTTAACAGTATGGCCGTGTGTACATAGCTTATTAGTCCTAACTGTGACCTGCCGGATTGACATCAGCCTTCTGGGCTGATGATGAAGCATTTTTCATTAAGAATATTTTTCCCGTATAGCATTGTGAATGGGACGCCTTTTGGTCTTTAGTTTGTTACGCAGCATATTGTTTACCCATAATGCGATGGTATCCTCCACAGCGTGAGCTGCAAGAGCTTTGGCTATGCTGTCGAAGCTAGTTTTGTTAAAGGCTCCTTCAATGTCTATGAACTTAGATATGTCTACTTCCTTTTGAGACTTCCTTCTATCGTACTTACTACAGAGTGAAGCGCAGATTTTGTCGATTTACAGTAGTATGTTTTCATTTGGTTGTCCTTAAGCTCTCTGTCACACAATCTCTCTAAAGTTTTAAGGAAAAAGATGAGAGACTGATTGGTCTAACTGATTTTGGATCACTATAGACAGGTTGACCTGGTTTTGGGATGAATATCACCATGAATTCTCTTCACAATTTTGGAGTATACTTGTGTGCTAGGCACGCTGTTAGAAGAAGCAGAATTAGGAATGTATCACTCGTTATTATTTAGTTTAAAAAAAAACATAAAGCCTTCATTAATAAACTCTAATTTTATTTTTTATGAATAAATACAATAATATCCTTAACAAGTAGTTAAACATCAATTCGTTTTTTATTATACATTTCGACATGATGTAGTGCTATCCTATGAACTATTGTGGCAGGCCGTAATAGATTGCTTGAAAGTGCTTGACGATAGGACCGGATGAGAGATTCATCTGTTTCTACTGGGTATAAATATTCGTTTATTTTGTAGCACAGTAAGTCTTCTGGGCAATCAAGAGCTCTCAGACAACCAGCATATTCCGACCATAAAAGCTTACGCCATTTTACGTTATGCTTCTGAGCAATAGGTACAAGAACGCACGCAGCGAATGCTGCATCTCCATAGCTTACTGACTGAAATTGTTCCAAGCACTGCGTGTAGAAATCTTGAAAGTTATGTAAGCCAGTTAATTGTTTATCAAAATTAAATGGCGATTTCTTCTTAAATAGGAGTTGAGTACACTTTTTCAGTAATATATTTACATTCTCATCCAAAAATAAAGAGTTATCACAAAGGAATACACACATTATTCTGCAAAACCTGTCTGTAATGTCAATATCTTTGAGTAAGTCTGGAAAACATGATTCGTAAAACAATATCCATTCTAAACTACAAACGATAATAAGCTCCTTTTGAGTGGACTCATTTCTCGCTGCCCTTTTGGCGTAGGTACCGACATTTGTTGGTGACATTTCGAATTCTTGACTTTTGCTGTACAACAAGAGTATAGGCAAATATATCCAATCTCTCGGCAGTATTGGCTGCTGCCAATCACGCAACATGATGTTAGGGCCGGTGTATCTATAATTTGAGTTTATAACTTTACTGTAACACAGCCTTATATCATCTATTGATGACAATACTTTTGAAAATCCTTCAGTATCAGACAAGGATACAAGATTTAACAGTGTTTCAGCTGAAAAGAAGTGTTTATTAAACACAATGTTTCTAAAAATATAATTCAGGTCATATTTTTTATCATTTCTCATTATATAACACAGTTTGCTTGATACTGAATAAATTAATTCTTTATTTGATTCTGGCATGTCACTCTGAATTGCTACTTTTATGGCAAAAAATAGAAAATCTATTTCCATTCTAGTAAACCAATTATCACATAGTGATGGCACTTTTTTAACTATATTTATTAAATATTCCTTTAAATGGTCTATATACATTTGTGTTAACACTCTATCATTTATGTAACTTAATACTTTATAAAGTGAAGCTAAAAATGGCAAAGGGGATAATGTGTTTAAAAGGGGTAATATTATTTGTGATCTATCCACTACAGATGTCCCAAGATTCTTTAAATTTCGTATTAAATAAAGATCACTGTTTTTAATACCAGACAATAGATTTGAAGAAGGCACTAGGTATTTTAACATTTGTTTGAAACATTGTGAAGGCTCTAAAACTTTTAACAAATCACCTAAAACTTTGATTACCACATTTTCATTAATCAAAATGGTTTTACAGCAGTCCAAAATAGAAGACACAAGCCTCAAGTGGCCACAAGTATAGTGTTCAGAGCTTGCCAATTGCATTATCCATTTCTGGACACCTTCTTTAAGCAAAGGATAAATTTGTTGCTTGTAACTATGCATGTTAACCATGTTAAAACGTAAAAACACATTTAAAAATTGCAGCACCACTGCTGCATGTGTGAGTGATGTTAATGATGAATGTACAAATACATTTGTGCCTTGTACATGTTTGTATAATGCCATAATTATGACAGGAAAAAGGGATTTAGAAATATCTGTTCCAATATCATACTGCAACAAATTTGTAAGAATGCAAAATGCTTCTGTTTGGATCTTTAAGCCATAGGTGCCCTCAACACCAGAGCTTATATAACCTGATATTGGTTGCAGAATCTCATAATTCATAGCTAACTTCATGCCAATGTTTTGTGTTTGCAATGTAAGTACTCGAAGAAGTTTTAGTGCAGACAATATTGGCTTGCCATTGTAAACAATTTCAGGTTCAAAAGTAAAGTTGATGCCCGTTGTAGGCACAAATTTTTCAATTAGAGTTTTCATCAGATGGTCACTTTCAATTATTAGATTTGCAGTTTCAACTGAATCTCTTGCTAATCTTATTAAAATTTGAATGGAATATTGTACACAATTAAAGCTAGGTTTAATGTTTTCCAGAATATAGTATAGCCTCTGAAGGATATTGGTCCTCAGAAGAGCTGATATTATGTCAATTTCAGCCAAATGGAAATCTTTCAATTCTGTTTCTTTTGAATCTAGCTCTTCTATTTCAGACTTGTCATTTTCCAAGCATGGTTGTTGGGTGCCCTCCTCAAATCCAATCAAAGCATCAAGGCATGCTTCATCTAATTTATGGTAAAGCAAATTTCGCATAGCCCTTAATGCTGGCTCTAAAATAATGGTTTTGTTTTCATCCATAGCAAACCTGATCACAAAAAAAAGTTTACTCAATGGAATCTCTATCACATCTTTGTAGGTACCCATGTTATGATAATCAAGTATACCAGCAATAGTATTCAATGCCATAGCTCTCTGTTGGATGACTGCAGACCGAGAAAGTTCTAACAGCTCAGAAACTGTGTAACCAGGACGATGTGGCTCTTCACCATGATGGAAAAGAGATTTAGTAGATTCTGTATACTCTATGGTGTAAGGCATTAAATATCCTTTAAAGTCAAATCTTGCTTCATATGGCTCATTGGGTTGCACTTCTTTGCTCTTCTTGATACCTTTCATCCATTCTAACTTATCCTTTTCGAAGGAATCAAAATGTAACCACCTGCTAAGTGAAGGATGGGACAGAATATCATTTTCCCATAAAGTATCATTGTCATCATCCAAACCTTGTGGCACATCCAGTTCTTGCGATTCTTTCTCTGAAGTATTTACTTTTTTATCCCCATCTGATTTTTCTGAAGGTCTTTGTTGCCTTATGGCTTTAAGATATTCAACTATCTTTGGATCCAGTGTAGTCAATAATTTTGTACGTTCTTGCAATATTTCATCTTCAGACATCACACTTAAAATTTTTATGTTTTCATTGTGTATTTCATTGGAATCTTTGGATGAGAGAACAAAACTTCTTGTTGGTAAATTAGAAGGCTGTTTGAAAGATTTATTTGTTGCTTTATTACATTCAGAAGTAGATGGTTGGTCAATATCCATGCAACTGATAGAATTTGATTGATTTAAAAATTGATTTTTCGGCACAATGCCACTATTATCAGTAATAATATTATGTTTACATACAACTGGAAATCCTTCAGCAGGCATTGATTTAAAAGACAGATCAATAGAGTCACTGACATTTCTTTCAACAATGTTACCTAATATTGAAGGTATCACTTTTGGGAAGTATACATTATCATTATCGAGGCCTAAGGTTGCAACATCTCTTTCCATATTTTTTTCTAAAACATCACCCATTACTGAGTTTGTTGTATCTTCAATTCGAGCCCGTTTTTCTTCGTGATTTCGGAGACCCTTCGATTGTGCATATTTTGAGGGTTTTCTACCTCTCGAATCACTTGTACTCGCTCTTTTAGATGGTTGAGATGGACGTAAATTAGTAACTTGTGCTGCTGCTTGAAGATTTGGGTTTAGGCTTTTCTGTTTTAGAAATTCTTCCTGCATTTGAAGTAAGTCATCTTCGCCTTCACCAGGTTTCGGTCTTTTTATCATGATAACAGCTAGGTAATTTTCATAAAATTTTATCAAAAACTAAAACCTCAAGACGGAGTTTTAATCAAATAGTAAAAGTATATATTAAAGAAAAGAGAAGAAAAGGCCGAGAGCAAAAGTATACATGAAAAAGTTTTAATAAATTAATTCTATGATTCTATGATTTTAATGCAATTTTTATTTTTAATCACTTCATTCTTTTTAGGTTAGGCAAAGGACTTTCATCCATACAGCCACGTCATAGTTTAATAGTCTCTTAATTTTCTTTTGGGTGCAGGCTAACGCCAAATTAAATTAAATATCTTTGAAGGTTGAGGATATGTATGTATATAATGCTGAATATGTATCAGTATTCTTTAGAAGGTCTTGTATAGAGCGCGTGATATTTTCCGGATTCTTATACACTTGCAAAAGTTGATCCTAGAGCAAGGCGTTGTATGTTGAACGACGGACAATTAAAGATAATGTGATCCAGAGTCTGATCAGCGTTATTGCATGGATTACAATTTGGGGAGTCAATGAGTAATGAGTTTATAAGGAAATTCCGTTATTCTGGGATGTAAGACTGGCCGAGGAACCGCGACTAGTAGACGGGTTGACGAGTTGATATAGTTCACGTGATTATAGTTTTGTTATGATATAAGTTGCGACTTCAGGGAAGTCAGACCGGCTGAGGACATGTGGCCGGTGACCAGCTTGATGGCTTGTTGGACGCTCGCTCTCAGGAGGAGCGGGCTTGATGATTGATGACTTCTCTGACGCTCGCCCTCAGGGAGGGCGGGTAGAACAATTGATGACTTCTTGGACGCTCGCCCTCGGGGAGGGCGGGTAGAACAATTGATGACTTCTTGGAAGCTCGCCCTCAGGGAGGGCGGGTAGCACAATTGACGACTTGTTGGTAAAGCTCGCCCTCAGGGAGGGGAGGCTGAATGATGATAATTTGGTAAGGCTCGCCCTCAGGGAGGGGAGGCCAGGTGACTGATAATTTGGTAATGCTCGCCCTCAGGGAGGGGAGGCTGAATGATGATAATTTGGTAAGGCTCGCCCTCAGGGAGGGGAGGCCAGATGATTGATAATTTGGTAAGGCTCGCCCTCAGGGAGGGGAGGCTGGATGATGATAATTTGGTAAGACTCGCCCTCAGGAAGGGGACGCCAGATGATGTTAATTTGGTAAGGCTCGCCCTCAGGGAGGGGAGGCCAGATGATTGATAATTTGGTAAGGCTCGCCCTCAGAGAGGAGAGACTGGATGATGATAATTTGGTAAGACTTGCCCTCAGGAAGGGGAGGCCAGATGATTGATAATTTGGTAAGGCTCGTCCTCAGGGTGGGGAGACTGGATGATTGATAATTTGATAAGACTCGCCCTCAGGGAGAGCGAGCTAGAATTATTGGCATAACTAAAATATAATCTGTTATGAATAATTGAAAAGTTACCATGTATTTCATTTGACATGTTTTCAGTGTATATTGTATAAATTCTGTGTAAAATAAGGGAACTCATTTCGACTGTGTGTTAGTCGATCGGCCCCGACTTCACACGAGTTGACGTTCCAACGCTAAAGATGGTGTCCAGATAAAAATCATTTCAAAACCTTGTTGAGTTAGCTTCAACCATATGTGTTGTTTTTAATGTATTAAATAGTTTGTATCGGCAGATAATTTGTTATTTCTCAGGGTTTCTAAAACACTCATGCTGTCTGATACTATAAGCCTACGAAAATGCTGTTCTTTAGATATAAATTTAAGTGCAATGTAAATTGCGTAACACTCTGCTGAAAACACACTCATTTCTGAAATTGTTATCAATTGGGAAGATTTGAATAGTAAAATTTGAATGGGCCCCGACTGTGAGTCGTTCTGTTCTGTATTACTTAACAGAATTCTAAACTACTGGGCTTGTTTCTTTCTTTTTAGTTTTTATTTAAGTTAATCTTTTCATGTATTTTTTAAGATTCGTTTCTACGCAGTCGGGTTTTTTGTTTTTCTTTAAATTATTTATTTTTATTTGATACTTTTTAGTTACGATTCGTTGACTTCGTTATAGCGTTGCCAAGTCCAATTTATTATTAATCGGGACAGCGCGTGTAATTAATCGGGATTTGGGGTTGTAAATCGGGACAGACAAGAAAACAAGTACTTTTTTATAATTAAAGGTTTAAAATAAAAACCTTAACATAGAATAATAATAAATAACGAGATTAACAATAAAATAATATTAATTTACGTACATTTGACCTTGAAAGAAAGAATAGAAGTACCTATACAACAGCTTCTGTTCTTATTTAATCACACTGACCCGGAAAAAACTGAAAATACAATTTAGTAATTTTAAGAATTGACAAAGACGTTATTGCGAAAAAAATTGTGAACTAATTATTGACCGTAAAAAAACTAAAAATACACATTTTACTAATTTTAGGGATTGACAAAAAGTTATTGCGTATAAAAATTGTGAACGAATTCTAAATAATAATAATTTGACTTGATTGACTAGTTCACAAATAAAAAAATATTTATTTATTTGTGAACTAGTCAATCAAGTCTGTCGCTCGCTTTTATTTAAAAAAATGTGTCTGATATAAAAACGAAAATATTTAATACTTACGCAAATATGTATTTTGAAATAAAAAATAAAAGCTTGTTTTAAAAAGTTTTTTTTTTCTTTTGATTTTATTAGTAACTTTTCGTCATTGAAATAAAATCCGTCTTATTTTCATTTGGTACCTATATTGGGTTGGTTGAACAAAAATATGTGCCTGATACGCCATTTTGTACTGGCGACTATCTTGGATTTTAGTTTTTTTTACAATGTGTTGTATTCTACAAGGTAAGCCCTTTCATTTAATCTCCATATTGGGTGGGTTATCTTCAAATATGTATGCCGCCATTTTGTTACGGGGGCCATATTGGATTAACAACAAAATTAGATTTAAAATTAAATAAATGATTACATAGTCACGCGTAATTAAGTCAACTGACAAATTTCAGCTCAATCAGAAACTGAGAAGTGGGTGATTGAGATTTGATTTGATTACAAACACCGAGACAAATTACAAATACTGGAGAAATAAGTATATTACTTTATTAGCATATTATTGTAATAGAAATTTATTACATTTTACTTAAGTATCAAGTATCGCTAATTCCAAATTAAGCTGATATACCTATTTGCATATTATAAGCAAAGGAGTTTCTGTCAGCATCTGATTTTGCGACAGACTTTCTAATAAGAAAATATGTATATAAACATCTACTATAATCAATGTCCACTACATGATGGTACGAGTATTATTATCATTTTGTCGAATCATGACCGGAAATAATTATGTCAAATGGACTAAAGATAAAAAAAAAAGTTTCTATTCTAAATAAAATTTTAAAATTAATAGTTTCTATATAAAATAAACATAAAGAGCTAAAAATCGATAATGATCTATGATTTATTTATTACATTAAACAAAATCGAAACACATAAATATATTTTGTTTAAATATTGTAAATTAGACTTGCAATGAATAGTATATTCGTCCATATGCCGATTAGCGAATATTCGGCGAGCTTTCTGGCCAAATAACCGAATATTAGGCATTAGGTATTCGGCCATTATGTGGCAACAAAACTTGTATCAAAAGATAAAATGCAGTTGAGACAGAAATAGATCATTTTTAAGTATTAATAACATATTACAGCAAGCAAATATATAAATTTCCGTTTTTGATCAAGATTGCAGCAAAATAATTATCGGCGCCAGGAAGTAGTGTTTATTCAGATCGTCTTTTATCTGGAACTGGGCTAGTCTACGAGCAAAAAAGAAGTTAACTACTTTCTTATAATGCAGAAAAAATATTTTTTCTACACCATAACCTTCCACTCTTAAACTTTGATTACGACAACAATTCAAATGCAAAAAAAGTCGTTAAATTTTGTAATAAATGTGAAAACAATATTATTATAAAATTAATCATTAATTTATTTCATTTTAACAATTATCTTATTACAACAAAATATATTAGGTACATAAACATTCGGTATTCGATAGAATACCAAATAATTCCATGTTATTCAGCAGCAGCTATAACAAAAGCAGCCGAATACTTACCGAATATTCTTTGCAAGTCTACTAAAAATGTTAAAAATTGCATAGCAACATCTAGTTTGATTAAGAGTAATACTTTTGAAAATTAAATTGAAAAATGGAGACGACTCCATGAATTATCGATGCCCGATGCATTAGAAAATAAGTTGCGCGAGCGCTGTATTTATGCCCGAGTATCATTGTTCGCCAATGAAGATTGTTCGTTGTTTGAATTCGTTCTATGAAACATTTATAATCCAAATGTTCCCCGACTGCAATGAGAAGTTTAGTCGAAACATATTACAGCTTATTCTTTTTTTAGCTCGTTTTTGGCAGTCGCGTTTTTGTAAATTAGTTATTTATAAAAAAAAATCTTTTATTTTATTTCTTTTAAATCTATTTTGATAACCTTATTGCTATAGTCAATCTAAATTGCTAAAACATTTTTTTTTTATTATTAATTTTTTTAATTGTATATGTCAGCCATATTAAATATAAAACAAATGTATAGCACCCTAACGCCCTATACCTACATTAATATCCAAAGTGATAGGGGAATAAAGAAACTTACATACAAACATTAACCATAAATACAATACACTCTTTTTAAAATAACAAATGAAAATCTAACCGTAATCATATAGCTTAGATTCAACATTAATTAGTAATGTAAATAAAACCTTAATAAATAATTGATTTCTTAATCTTCCTCATGACATACTAATAGGTACTAGTTAGGTAGCTTTTTTGCGTTCAGACATAGATAAATATAGTTCGGGTCTTTCAAAAATGGACTTGATAGTATGAAAAAAAAAATTTTTTTTGAATAAAAATGCTCGATTTTTCGGTACATTTAGCGTCCCGATTAGGTACAAATCGGGACGCGTCCTCGGACCCCTGATAATCGGGACGTCCCACGTAAATCGGGACACCTGGCAAGACTAGTACCAACCTATGTCCTACAGACTGAAACTTGCATTTATTATTGTTCAATATATGTATTATTTTGGTAATGACATGATTTATGTAAATGTCATTACTTATGATAAAAAGCTGGTAAGTTTCTTTCGCTTGTTCTTCTTGTCAGCTAAAAGACGTCCTGAACAAGTGGTAGGGGAAAAAATATTTTTGGATGATTCAAAAGTGCTAACAAGCTTACTTGAATAAAACCTTTCATTTCATTTCATCACTGTCTGACATTTTGGTTGCAGTAATCTATTTGAACGTATAGCTTTTGGTATAATTATAACTAATCAGTAACAGAGACCATAAAAAACGATAATTGTACTAAAATATGCGTTTATTATCTATGTACTTACCCGTTACGTATCAAATAAACTAATTACTTGTACAAAATAACATGACT